TGTGTTGCAACTCATCAGGCGAGCCTTTATCGAGTTTGAAAAAAGCCCTTCAAAAGTTTTTCGAGGCTTCGTTCGGCCGCACCTAGAAATTACTACACAAGCATGGAGACCTTGGACTGCCAAAAAGAGTACCGTATGAGAGAAGATCTAGAAGTGGGCGAGAAAAATGACCAAAGATCTGGGAACACTGCTATAGGAAAAAACACTGACGATCCTGATCCTATTTCCCTTATACTACCGGCAACTACGAGGGGACCCCAGCTTAACCTACCTTATGAGGAATGGCCTAGATTGTTGCTTTGTCCCCCGACGATTTTTTTACTCAGGTTAACACACCCCCTTTGTGAGGTCTTTATCTACAGCTACACCCTAGCAAGGGACGCAAAATATTATTCTCTAACAACGCCAACCAGTGCTTTTACCTTCACTGCTCGTACTAAGTGAGCAGCCATATGTGATTACTCTTCCAGCTAACCAACAACTGCTTGCTTTCGCCCGCAATCATATAATTAACGTCTTCTTTGAAATGTTTTTCTGTATCAGTATCTTTCAAAGCCACCCTGTCAACAATAGGAAGTTTAAGGGAAGTTCGGTTATCTTTCCCTTAATAGAACTGAACTGAACTAAATAAGGCAACTTTTCATATGTCAGTTTCCTTCAGTACGTAAGTGCTGCAGATTATGGTCAGTATAAAAGGAAATATCGGTGGACTTCTCTAGGTAACCTGCGTGTTTGGCGACTGAATTAAAAGACGCAAGTTACACAGCGGAAAGAAGGTGAGAACGAGGGGGGGCGGTACCTGGTTCTGTAGAAAGGGTGGCGGCAGGCTGTGGTTTTATCTTATTCTTTCCGCTCGTGCCGATTACACAGGAGGGTAGGTAAGCCAGGAGGCGGGGAAGCGGAGAGGGTAGCGCCCATTCATTGCCAACCAACGCGGCGACCGCTGACGTCGCGATGGCTGTCAAATGACGGTCAATCTTGTGTGTGCAAAAAGAGGACGATGATAACAAAATACAAATACGTGTGATTAATTTTGGAGCATATGCAAACAACTGAGGACCAGTGACAGAAGAGTGCTGGTTGTGTAAGCAGACTAGGTCGCAATTGGGGCACTCAATAGACTTAACTGCTCCAATTTATTCCCATTAAATACATAAAACAGGCTATTGTATAGAGGAGATCGCGACCCCAGGCTTAGTTACTAACTAGCAACCCTTTCCGAATGGGCAGAATTCACCAGTTTTGGAAGGCAGTGTTTAATGAAATGAGAGAGCAGTCTCGTTTGCGATCGGAACTAGAAATCCTCCATCGTTTACATTCTTTTGACACACCTAAAGCCTTAATGTTGGGATTTATAGATGCTGGCATTCATCCCCTTATTCTTTTTTGTTCTCCGCTTATTCTTCAAGTCTAAATGAAAAAATACTTGCTGATTTTGAAAAATATACTCCGAATGCTATCCCCAGCTGTGGATGTTTCTTACGCTTTTATAGTTCACATCATAATACAGCAATTTACTAATCGCATTCTTGATGACTTTGCTGATTTACTTTAATCTAAGGTTTTTCCGTGGATTTTGAGATAGAGCCCTCGTATAGAAACCTATGTTCACACAAACGAGAACGTTGGCCTTGAACAGCAACGCCCAGTACCACCCTGTCTAGGTAACGGTTCCAAAGTCAAGTTATTCATAATATCAACTGGAGAGTACTGCTGAAGGCACCTGCCAAGTTAATCTTTGGCTTTGAGGTACGAAATGTGTCAC